CGCCTGGGATTTGCCTAAAATAACCCAGGGGGAAGGAGCAGTGGGTAGGGACGCGTGAAACCAGCTGGGCTGTGAGAGTGGCTGTCAACGTAGGAGATGGCAGTGGGCACTCACTATTCTCAGCTCTCCATTTTTGCATACTTTTAAAATTTCCATAATAACAAGGTTTTTAAAAAATATATGAGGCAGCCACAAGCAAGGCAACGCGCTCCTGCACCCACCCAAAGCAACTCCAGGCCCAGTTGGGCGGTTCTCAGAGTGTGGTCCACACCTGGGGGCTCCCAGGCCCTCTCCAGAGGTCTGCCAGGCCAAAACTGCCTCAGTGCTACTGAGACATGATTTGCCTTTTGCACCATATTGACCTTTACCCCAAGCTGCAAAATCAACAGAGGGTAAAGCTGCTGGCCTCTCCTCACGAATGAAGGCCCTGACCCCAAATCGCACTTGGGGTCAGGGCTCACTGCTGTTCACTCAGGAAAATAATGCCAGTGTCTCTTAAAAATATCCGTTATGAAATAGTAAGATTATTAATTTCGTATTAGACCCCTAAGTACCACTGTACTGATGTTCTGAGCAAGAGAGCAGGGCGTACAGGAAGCAGACCAACTGCACTCGGAGGTCCATCGTGGCCAGGGGAGCACCGGGCAGCTGGTGGGCGGTGGGCCCAGCTAGCTGCTACTCTCCAGCCCAGTCCCCCACTTCTATGCGAAACAGATGGACGGACTTTGGTTATTCAGACTTAGGTATGTGGCAGACATTTTCTCAAAAATGAATACAGCAAGCCTATCACTTCAAGAACAACTGATTATTATTTGCTGCCAAAGAGAAAATTTGAGCTCTTGAATGCAGACTGGAATTTTAGAAAACTTGTATCCTCTGCTGGGAGCCTGATGACTGCCCCATACTGCATACCTGATGAACCCATATGTTCCAAGTGATTGGTGCGAGATGTCACTCACGTATAAGGCAGGCCAATTTCTCTGGTCATTATGGTTTCAGATCTTCCGTTGAAATGAACTTCAGAAACCACCGGTCTTGTTGTAGTAGGAAATTACTTAAAGTAGCCACACTCACTTTAAAAGACTATTAAAATACCAAATGGGTTTTATTCATAGAGTGAGGCTGGGTTTTATTCGTATATTTGAACCAAAAAACAGACTGCAAAACATTGGTGAAGTAGACAGGAGGATCAAGCTATCTTCTGTTATACCAGAAATTAGCAAAAAAAAAAAAAATCAAACAGCGCCACTCTTCCTAATTTTTGTGCTTTTGGAAAATACAGGTTTGTTTTTATTAATGAAGTGGGTTTATCATTATTAATTTGAATGAATGAATAAATATTTTTAAATTTATCCATTTAATTTCTAACATAGTAGACAGTGGTAGATATAACCCAAATAAAAACTGTCTGGGGCACCCAATATTTTCTAAGAGTGTAAAGAGGTCCTGAGGCTGAAGAGTTTGAGAATCGCTGGCCTAAGCGGTCCCTTGATTAAAGGGACTGGAAATGTATACGGGAGTGATCACTGCAGTATGAGACGGAATAAAGGGGGAAATGTTATGTACCTTCAATAAGAGAAAGGATAAATTGTGACATATTCATACAATGGAATATCATGCAGCTATGAGACACACAAACACACATCTCAAAAACACACTGTTGTGAAGAAAGGGAAATGGACAAAAGATCTGTACCAAGTGATGCCACTGATTTCCATTTTAAGACAACAAATGACATTATGCATTGTTTATGGATAAACACACACACACACACACACACACACATATAAACGTAGTCAAACCGACCTTCAGAAGGATGAACCCACCAAGTTCATAATCTTGTCGGCCTGTGGGGAGAAAGGGAACAGCACTGGGAGGCACTTCAACTCTTGTCTGTAATGTTCAATTTCTCTTGTTTAAAAGAAACAGTGGGGAGGTGCTTTTCCCTGCTCCTGGCTAGAAAGCAAGCCTGATGGAGGGCACATCCCCTCCAAAGCTCCTGACTTCTCTGAGATGGTTATCACCTTCTGGATATCTTTCCTGGTAGCTGCTGGAATCCAAGGAGTGTATGATCTTGATGCTGCCAGCCAATCTTGTGTTGGCTATTAGGAAAGATTCTGTTCTAGGCCTACCTGAAACCCTGGTCAATGCTGTGAGGATGAAATTTATAGTCCTGTTAATGTTTAGTGTTCCTTTCTATATTTTTATTATTCAGCCTGTATTTTTCATTACTATTTAAGCTCTATTGAACCCTGTCTCGGTAGCGCACGTTGATCCCGATGGCTTTCCCCAAGGGAAAAGCCCCATTTCCATAGCTGTGTTCATTCTGCTCTCTGCTATGCCCCACTCCAGGTCTGGGGTTTCTTTCTTTTTTTTTAAGATTTATTTATTTTAGAGAAAGAGAGAGAATGAGAGGGAGAGGGAGGGAGACTCCCAAGCAGACTCCGAACGAGCACAGAGCCAGATGTGGGACTCGATCTCATGACCCTGAGATCATGACCCAAGTTGAAACCAAGAGCTGAGAGCTTAGCCAACTGCACCACTCACGCACCCCTGGGCCCTGGGGTTTCTTCAGGACACAGGAGGAAAACTTGATAAATGTCAAAGTTTTTGTGCCTGATTATTTCTTGCCTTTCAAGAGTAAATTTATGAACCTCCAATCAAATGTTCACCTGCCAGCACAACAAATATATAAAAAGTAAACAAGTATAGAAAGAAAAAGAAAGGTTTATAATCCCCAAAGGTTTATAATCCCAAAAACAAAACAAAACAGTGAATTTAAGGGACTAAGCAAAGGGAAACTCCTTATTAAGCCTAGCTAGAAAGCCAGGCTTCCACTTTGGTACTGTCCTACAGATGGCCTGTCATCAAAGAGTATCACGTCACTCACCACCTGTCTGCCACAGGGGCCTACTTACTATCATCCTCAGCCACTTGCATTCCACATTTGCCAATTTCAAGTTCAAAAATCAACGGCAGAGGATCAGCACCTAGTCCACAGTAGCTTGGGGGCTCCCTGGAATTCTTTTTTTTTTTTTTAATTTTTTTATTGTTATGTTAATCACCATATATTACATCATTAGTTTTTGATGCAGTGTTCCATGATTCATTGTTTGTTCATAACACCCAGTGCACCATGCAAAACGTGCCCTCCTCAATACCCATCACCAGGCTAACCCATCCCCCCACCCCCCTACCCTCTAGAACCCTCAGTTTTTCAGAGTCCATCATCTCTCATGGTTGGAATTCTTTTGATGGATAGCTGCCCTCATTCTGGAAGGGGACCTGGTTTCCTTGAGATTCCTCTGCCCCACACTGAGCACCTACTATGTGCCAGGCACTTGCAGAGTATCAGGGACACAAAATGAATGAGGTAAGGAACGAAGGACTCATACAGACTACCATACCAATGAACCTCAAAAAAATGTGCCAAGTAAAAGAAGCCAGACACAAATGACCACATATTGTTATGATGACATTTATGTCAAATGTCTGGAAAAGGCAAATCTACAGAAACAGCAGATTAGTGGTTGCCTGGGGCTGGGAATGAGAGTGGCGGGTGCCTGTGAATGGGAATGAGGGTGTCTCTGTAGCATGACGGAAAAGTTCTAAAACCAAACTGTGGTGATGGTTGTACAACTCTGTAAATTGACTAAGAATCATTGAATCTTACACATTAAGCAGGTGAATTTTATCAATAGTGACTTTCCATAAGCTGACCATTCACTTCTGCTCGTCAACCAACATTCCATGAACTTCTAGGGCAGTCCTTCTCAGGTGTTCAGTGAGAACACGGAGTCCCACTGCCTGGGCACACAGTTTGCAATGACTTAACTTCTCCCCTCTGCATTCTGATGGTGCCAGTTATGTCCCAAATTGAGAAAAGAATCTCTGGAGTCATTCTCACTGGGGTTTTTACTGGATCTCTCAAGGAACCCCAGTTGAGAAAGGCTGCAGACCATACAAAGATCCACACTAAACTGGATCCCCTAAAGTCTAAAGATTTCATTAAAAATAATTTCAGAGGTTTTAAATCACTTGATAAATTTTTATTATAATAATTTTACATAAAAAGGCCAAAGGATGACAATTCCATTTCACGCAGTATTTTTTTTTTCCAAAAACGACATGCTTCTCTAAGTGGGGGTCAAGGAATCTTTAAAATCTTTGTTCCTTTAAAAAATCTTAAAGGATAATTTCACACAGTCACATATCAAGCGACTTAGGAGAAGATACCATTTAAGTCACGAGGGTACTCTTAAACAGTTCCCAGTTTTCCATGCTGGCTTGGAGGCTTTCCATGCCCACAAGTGCATTCAGGGCGAAAGACCCCCATAAGCCTTCTCCACATTTGGCTTCCTCCCGAGCTCACAGCTTAGTGTCTGTGTTCAACTGCACTGCACAATCTCAGGGAAGGACCGGGCCCGCTCTCCAGGCCTCCGTTCTCCCTAGGATGCCGCGCGCCCTGCCCCAAAGAGCGCATTGTGCAGGCGAGATTGGGCCTGCTCCCGGGTGGGCTGAAGTGTGGGCACGGTCACTTTGCCGGGTCCCCTCCCCGCCGCGTCCACCCGGGCCTCCATGCACACCAGGGCGCCCAGCAGCCGAGGGCACTCGCCGGCCCACGCCGTCTTGCCCCATTGGGCTGGCTGAGATCGGTCCCAGCAGCTCGGCCCTCCGCCAGCACCCCGGGGAAAGGCCGCCCCCCCCCGCCCCCTAGCTTCGACAATCCCACCACCCGCCTCCGTCCGTCAGGCGGCCCTTCCATCAAACAGACTGCACCACTCCGCCGGCTCTCTCCCTAACGACGCCCTAGAAGGGACAGAGCCCGCCCCCTCCTTTTAGGATGCCCGGGCCGCCGTCTGGGAGCGGCCAGCGCGGGGCTGGGCGGGCTCGGCGAGGGCCCGGTCTGGGGTCCAGCCTTTCCTCGGCCGCCCCCCGCGGCTCGGGGGCAGGAGCAGGTGCCGGTCCGGACCCCACCGTGGCCCGCAGCCCGACCTCACCCAAACACGTGCTCGGAGCTCCAGATCTTCATTGCCGCCGGCAGCCGGCCGCAGGGCGCGGGCTCCCGGCTCGGACTCCGCGCGCCCGATCCTGCGCGCCCGGCTCCTCCCTCCAGGCGCGTGGGGGCGGGGGCGGGGCCGGGCGCTCTCCGGCCCCGCCCGCTTGCCTGTTACTTGGCCACGAGGGTTATGGCGGCTAAAAATAGGGATGCGGGACTCAGCTGGAGCCGCGGATGGGGGAATCTGCGCTGCCGCAGGGAGATGCGCGGACAGCACCAGCTGCAAATGCAGGGATGGGAGGCGAGGGACTAATGCTCATCGTTCAGGTTGTCCAAATTCTCCCAAAGCGCTCTCCAGCCAGCCTGGTTTCTACTGTTGGTAAGTATAAAGAAAAACAAAATCTCCTGCCAGACCCCCCAAAATTCCCCAAGGAAACAGAAGAGAAAGAAAACAGTTTTAGTATTGAGTCGCATTAAACCAGAACGTAATGTGCGTCACAGGCGGTCCCCTAAAGAGATTGCAAAGACAGCAAGAAATCTCACCCTTTTATATATAGCCAGGCAGGTGCGACACCTACATCCATGTTCTCAAATGAGAGGACTCGACAGCACCTTTTGTCACACAGAGTTCACCCTAAATTTACCTGGTGATTAGAGTGGCTGTTTTTGTTTTCTAATTGTCTTTATCCGAAGAAGCAATAAAATTCTCATGTTGTTGCCATAGAAGGCAGGTTTGAAGCCAAGTGCTCCTGGAAATTAAGCTAACATTTCAGAGAGATGGTGCCCAGGACCTTGAGAAAGAACATTTCTGGGTTAGAACTGGCAAAAGGCCTACTTAGCTTTTTAAAAACATGTACACACATCTAGAAAGGATGAAGAATTTACAAGTTTTCTAGAGTAAATGCTCTTTAAGAAGGGAAAGGAGAGGCTCTTTTCCTTTTGCACCAGGGAAAAATCAGTTTTTTTCTTTTTAGATTTGTATTTACTCTGCACTACCACAACCAAAGTTCAGGTACAAAGAAGCAGATGCTTGTTTTGTGAAGAAGAGAAACCGGCGCAAAATGAGATGGGGTGTGAGGGCAGGGGACCTCATCTAGCCTGCTACTGAATCCCAGCACTTAGCACAGCACAAGGCACTGACTGGGCGTCTGGAACCTGTTTGTGCAATGAGCCAGTGAAGTGGAAAGAGCTCACGGAACCAGCCAGAAGACCTAGGTTAGGCTACCATCTACTCACAACGACCTTTACCACCTATGGCTTTAACCTTACAGTAATCTTCCAAAGTTGGTGCTACTATGCCTGTTTTATAGATGAGCAAAAGAGAGCTCACAGAGCAGTGCAGTCTGTCTGATGGAGGGGCCGCCTGGCTGATGAGGCCTACGGTGGTACTGCTGAAGCAGGGGGCAGGGGGGAGCTTTTCCTTTGGGGTTTGTGGAGGGCTGAGCTCTAACATACAGGACTGGACAGTGGGGTTTGTATGATTCCCCCTCACACCTGTGCTACAGTGGCTCACAATTATGATCAGGCCCGTTGTGGAACACTTCCTATGCAGTCAGCCCTAGGAAGCTAGGTGCTGTTATTTTGGTTTTTAAAAACCATCATCATTTACAGTCAGCATTTTCCACAGAGGTATATGGAGCATGAGGCTTAAGGAATGGGGCCGGATGGTGAGTTAGAACACACTGTAGGGGAGACAGCTCCTGTAGGTTGCTCCAGGTCTGAGAGGGATGAGCTGCTGAGTTTGCATCTCACCATGTGAGAAAACTAAGACCCTAACCAGGTGGTGCCTTGGTACAGAAACCTGCTGTGTACGGTGAAGCTGGGTAACTGAGAAAGGGGGAGAAAGGAGGACCACCTTCCATCCCTTGTCCCGCCCTCAGGTCTCCCTGACACACAGCTGTGGCTTCTCAGGTAGCCACGCCCAGCTCAGGTGTCTCCAAAGAGCAAGTTATCAGAAACCTTCACTTCCATTGCATAACTGCTAGAACTGGTGTGACCCCCTTGCTACCAGCAGGAGGATGAAATCAGCACCGAGAATGGAAATTGATAGGAAAAAGGCCGTAGTGAACCCTTTCTCAGCCAGACTGAAATGCCCTTACCCAGGGACTCACAGCCATGCTCTAACAAATGTTTTCATTGTCTCATGTCATTGGAATTCACATTTTAGCCCAAAGCCCCCAACTGATACACCCACCTTCTGAGCGAAGCCTCCAGTTCTCTCCTCTGGAACATTCCACCAGTGTCTCCTGACCTTCCTGCCTTCTCCACTCATCCTAGGCCACAGTTCACAGAGAACTGGGGTCAGCTGGACAGATGCTACAATCTGCCATCTCCGGTCAGGGCCCAAAGGACTCTGTGCTATTGGTATGAAGTCACAATCTTACGGATCATTGCAGAGGGAATGGCAGGTGCCCTGTTTCATCCAGACCCTCTAAGGACACTTTTCCTTATCTTTGGATAGCATCATCCCCCAAGTGATTGCCAGCCTTTACCGCTGTCTCCATACCTCCCCTTCAGTTCCTGTCCCCCTCATTCGGGGTAGATGACTTTACTTCTTGCTAAATGGAGACAATTAAGCCAAGAGGTGTGATCTCTTTCAACCTCGGGCCATTATAGTGTATCGTGCTGCTAGGAGTGCCATCCCTGGAGGGAGGCTGCCCAGGTTCAACACTGGATAACCAACTACTGATTGTATGACCTTGAGCAACTTGCTTAACTTGTCTAAGCCCCAGACTCCTGGTATGTAGAACGGTTGAATGGGCCACAATGGTAGTCAGCGCCCAGCAGTGTCAGACGTGCAGCAAGTGTCCAATATGTAGTGGTTCCTATCATGATCTAGACCCAGGCCAAGCTCCCCTCCCATCCTCCAGGTGACCTGCTCTTCTCTGGGTCCCCTGTCCCCTAGGCACCTGCTCCACTAGTCATCCCTTCCGTAGCTCCCATTTCTTCCACACACGGGGCATTTCACTTCACATCCACCCTGGATTATAAATATGGCCAACTTTTAACTTTAACCCCCCCACACAAAACCTTCCAAATCTCCCCCTTGACTCTGCACCTGTCTGTGGGTCCTTAGAGGAGCCCAGGACCTTGAGCTTTTTCACTTACCTCTACCCCTGCTCATCCCAAACCAGATAGGTTGATTTTTCCTTGCTTGGGGTTTGCAGAAAACAGAGGAGTAATTCCCAATCACCCTCCCCTTAAATAGGCAAAGATTTGTTATTTTTAATTAAATATTAAATGAGGGACGCCTGGGTGGCTCAGTCAGTTAAGTTATCTGCCTTCAGCTCAGGTCATGATCTCAGGGTCCTGGGATCGAGCCCTGCATCAGGCTCCCCACTCAGCAAGGAGTCTGCTTCTCTCTCTCCCTCTGCCTCTCCCCCACCCCACCCAGCTTGTGCTCTTCTCTCTCGATGTCTCTCAAATAAATAAATAAAATCTTAAAAAAAAATAAATGTGAAATAAAACAATGTTCTTGTTCCATAGGAATATTCGAGCAGAGATGGAGGCTAGCTTAGAGGGTGCGGGGCAGACCCACCGCGCCCTGAGGCAGTTCCTGGACGCTTGGAGGATCCATTCGCTCTGCTCTTCGCTCTTCGAAGCAGCCAGGACAGACTCCGGCAGGTGTGGTGGGCGTGCTCACGGCCAGGTGACACGTGGGTCTGATCCAGGGCCACCCAACAGTTCTTTGTTGTTGTTTTAGTTTTATGAGTTCTGTAGAACTGGAAAGGTGCCAGTGAAAAGAGCGACTGGCCGTGTGTTAGTTGGTTAAGCCAAACACAGGATCTGGTTGTTTCCCCAGGAATCATCAGGCAAAGATGGGATGACAGATTCGGCTGCTGACTGAACCTCCCACAGCAGTGCACATCTGGACTGGTTGTTGTCACCGCAGTTATGGGAACGAAGGAGTTTCCCAAGGAATGGAAGATTTAGGAGCAAAAGTCATCCCTCACCTTTATCTTTGGCTGAAATGCCTCTTCCACTTTTTTTTTTTTCTGGCTTGAAAACCAGGGTCACTTTTGTGGTTACTGAATCAACGAGGGAAAGGATGAAAGACCCGTGCCATCCTAGAAGTTTATGGTGGTAAATGCCAAAGCTGTGTGTGTAAAGCACTTGAAACTTATCTTGCGGCTGCTACACTCCCCTGTAAGTATTATGAAATTGTTCTCCCCACTTCTCAGTCTTTAAGAGTCCATGTTTACTCTTCCCACTTTGTTACTGCTTACTATATTCCACATGCTGTGACTGGCTCCTGAGACTCTTCTCGTTAGGGTCACCAGAAGCCATCACATTTTCCAATCCAGTGGCCATTGTTCAGCCCCATTCCTAGACCTCTCTAGTGCACTTGAACTACTGAGTGGTGTCTCCTTGAAACTCTGCTACCTTGGCTCCAATGACATCTCATTGCTTGTCATATCCCTTCTCGGTCTCCTTAGCAGATTTCTCTCCGCCCTCTGCCTTCCGTTCTTCTCACTCTACACCTTCTCCCTGAGTGAACTCACTGAGATTCATGGTTTCTACTAACTCCCAAGCCTGTATCTCACTCTCATTTCAACCCCAAGCCTCACACCCATCTATCCGGTTACCCATGGGATATTCCCTGGGTCCATACCTCAAACTCATCATGGCGCAAGCATCTTTCACCGTAAGCAGATTCCTTTCCAGAATTCACTTGTCCAGGGTCATGGTAGCACCCGGGTGCCGCACACTAAAGTAATCCCTTACACCCTACATCCAACCAATCATCAAGTCCTTTGGAATTTACCTCTTACAGATTGTTTTAATCCATTCATTCTTCTATATGCTTTAAGAGCCAGTGTGATTTAATAGTTGTAGTTGAAGGCATCGGTTTGCAGATGAACAAACCTGGGTGCCCATTCTGGCTCCCTTTCTGCAAATTGCTTGACTTCTCCAAACGTCCATGTCATGATCTATGAGATGGGGATACTAGCTGTAGCTACCCTGTAGGATGTGTGAGAATTAAATGAGAGTATAGGGCAAGTCCTTTAGCACAGGGACTGGTGGGCAGTAACAACAAGTGTCAGCCATTCTCATTGTTAGTACTGGATTACCAC